TCATTATTATTATTATTATTATTATTAAATACGCTGAAATTCAGTAAAAATTCAAATACATTTCAGTGTATACGTGAGGCCTTTTCACCCAAATTACGAAATAAATTAAACGATCTTTTTAACTGTTTTACTATAGTAACTATTTTGTTAATAAAATCATCATGAGCAAAATATTTATTTATTTATTTATTTGGAAAGGAAGAAAGAAAGAAAGAACGCTGTAGCGGACGAACAGGACTTTTAACTGCTCTGTAAGTCTGCTCACGTCATGCTCTGGTCTTTGGGAAGAGTGACGGCAGGGCTCAAAACTTTCACCTAAGTTACCGGCGACTGTTTAATTCGGCCGTCTTCATTCAGTAAGATCTGTCAGTGTTCTGAGGAGTGTAAAATATCTTTGTTATCATTCACAATAGTGTTGGTTTTGTTTGACGAGAACGCCTCTCCTGATTTGAAAGCTTTTTCTGTTTGAAGTGCGGCGATTTGGGATAGCCACAAGTTAAATGGACGCATGCGGATCACGTTTATGTATGTGAGTGTGTGACAAACAACTTTTCAGCGCAGGGAAGAAAAACTAAGAATGAACTTTCTGCTCGTTTTTGACGCGTTTGTTGTATTTGGGTTTTGTGCGTGCGAATCCCAGTGAACGGAAAAACTTCCACCCAACTTTTCCTGCTGTTGGTCGTCGTGTGATCCAGCAGGTGGGGAAACACGAGCCGCTGTTTCATCAGGGAAAAGAACACAGGAACCGGATTTAAAATAAACCAGTTTTCTTCTGAAACTCCCACTGGATTTAATTTTACGACTTGGTGACTGGAATAACCAACTATCCAGAACTAGTAAGTGGAACAAATCCCTCTACTTCAACCCCACGTAATTTACACATTCAATCACTGTGTATAAGAACATCACGTTAGTTATCAAAACATCTTAAAGGAATGACAATGACATTATTATCCTAGTAATGGGGTCACTTCTAAGAATCAAATAAGATCCTACTAGTACACTAATAATACTATTTTTTTTCTTTAATTTTTTCAGTTTGTTGTTTAAAATTTAAATATAACCCAGTAAGATTTTTTTTGTTTATCCAGTAAGATTCCATAGAAATTTGTTCTAAATTAGCTTATGTCAGACAATCAGCATCCCTTCAAGATATTTTGACAGTTGATTTGAATTTTGTTGTTACCTAATATATACAGAAACCTGTATATTTAGAAACCTTTTGTGACTGCTCATGACCATTTTACCTAGTTGGGAACACAGCTCCGTTTTAAGCCAATGTGTAAAGGAATGTGTACATGACTCATTTTAGAATAAGATCTTTCTGGATAAGATGAAATTCCTGCAGGATTTTTCTTCTTACTCAAGCTTTTGATTCATTTTAATATCCTACAGGGGCGTTTAATCATTTTAGGGGTCATAATAGTTGAATTGTGAGCTGTTTTATAAAATATCTAGTTTGTGTTTGACAATATATTGGAGCCATATACGAGAATTGTCTCTGAATTATTAAGTCAGATGATATGTGGCTTCCTGAATTCAGAAATAAACCTGCTTCAGGTGTCTGGAGAACATGAGTTGGTTTGATTCATGCTTTTGCCTCCCAGCACTGCTTGATTGATTTGACAGCGTACAGATAATGGCATTACCTTTGTGTTTTGGACATGATATCATAGTAATGCCATTGTTTTTGGACTTCCACCATAGTTATGCTATGCTTTTTGGTACATGCTATTCCTTGAAGTGCCATGTAAATAGAGTTGTAATATTCAGAAACCTGGTATCTCTGTACCATGTTACTTACCACCACAGTACTTTCTGTAAGGAAGGATTGTTTTCATGACTGTGGCCATGAAATCGCTGAGGTTACGAGAGGGAAATAATATTTTCTTATCTCAGTTCCGGTTCAGGTGTATTGATACACTTTATTTAACCTAGAATATATTTGTGTATCTCTCTCTCTCTTTTATTAACTGTGTGTAACATGTTATGTCTGGCTTGCTAGATGATCTATTTGAACTCTCAGCCTTGTCTCTGGCACTTTAATTGAAAACTGTGTTTGCATGCCTATATTCTGCACTGCAGCTGCTTGTTTTTAGGGACTTTATTACAGGACACGTCACACACACACACACTCACTCACTTAATGACAGACCAACATTCCTCAGGCTCCGAAAGATATGCTGTCTCTGTCGTTCTCATTTTAGCTGTCCATCTCTCTCTTTTTTTATTCTTTGTCTCACAAGGCTCATGTTCAAACAGAATCTGGCCAAAAGTTAATCATATAAGTTGTTCAGTCTGTAACATGGCATAGTTTAGTCCTTACGTACATGGTTTAGAGAAAATGTTTAGGAACAAACTTAGAGGTGCATGATTTGGGGGGAAAAAAATTAAGATGTTTTTTTTTTTTTTTCCCTCAGATAAAGATTATGATTTTGGTTTGCTGTGCTTGTTTGTAGTCTGCACAGTTTGGCTAAATGTTGTGATTGCTTAAATATGATTATATAATAATAATAAATAATAATAATACTCATATTATGATTATTATTACTGATAAATGAAACTATAAGCAAGATAAGAAATATTATGATTGTAATAATCCACTGTGAAATAAAAAAATTGAACATTTAAGAAAAACATTTATTTTATTTTACAGTACAACTCACAATAGTACTTATAACTTTCTTAATTTCTTCATTTTCAAATGTTAGAATATCAAGCTTTAATTTTGGTGCAAAACCAGCATTTACTGCAAATCGAGTCGCTTCAAGACACTGAAAAACACTGGAACACAATATAAATGAATATAAACACGCAGTGTTTGTTAAATTAAATCATAGCTTTTGCGATGTAATAATCACATTAAGCTGTTTTGTGATTTTTGCTTTTATTTCGGTTAAAGCTGCATACAGTCCATAACTTTTTTTAATTAAAAATTATCCAAAATCAATTTTTGAGCAAGTACATAACCAGCCAGTGTTCAAAACTATCTCCTTACCTTAGCCTGATTCACGGTTAGCTTATAATAATGTTTTGTAATTTGAGTGGTACTGATGGGAATTCGCGGGAAATTGGAGCATGCTGCTGCGTCATAATGTCACGTGTCTAAACATAAAGAATTTGTCCCGGCTAGTAGGCTATATTGCATGCAAGGATGCTGCAGGTGGCGGATCGTTTATAGCCTTTTCTGACAGTAGCTGGAATAATTAAAGGTGTGGTTCATTGCGATTTCACTTTTTTAATGTTAGTTAGTGTCTAATGTTGCTGTTTGAGCATAAACAATATCTGCAAAGTTACGAAGCTGAAAGTTCAATGCAAACGGAGATATCGTCTTTTAAAATTCTGGCAGTTTAATGCCTACAAAAACGGCTGGTAGGGTCTACAACGAGCTACTTCCCGGGTTCGTGACATCACAAACCCAGATACACCCCGCCCTCGGGAAAAGGCTGCAAAGGGGGTGAAGCCATGAGAGATGCAGAGCTGAAGCCTCTCTCTCTCTCATTCAGATCATCAGCTCAGCTCTGTTCCATTTATACACTTATTTTCACATAGCTATGAAAAGCGTTAAGCATGGACGCACGTGCAGTTGCCATACTGTATTAAAGCTTTAATCAGGATAAAACTGTATATTAAAAGCTAACATAAGCAGTAGCATTTACAAATAACAGCGTATCTTAAAGAGACAACGACAAACAAAAAACATAGGCCTACCATTAAAAGCCATGCTTGCACAGAAAAACCAGTGAACCACCCCTTTAAACTTATCATTTTGATGGCGGATTCTAATCCAGAAAGGATTGTGTTTATGAAACACATGTGACTGAAATTAAATTATATTCCAGTTTTAAATGTGCATCTGATTACAGATAGCTTACGTAGGATTACACAAGATTTGTATTTTAAAGAGAACCAGTTCGAAGGAAGAATAATTTAAGAAGGAAATGATCAGCCCGTTTCTCTGAGAAGGGACAGAGCGGTTTGGAATAAAGGTAAATTATGTGAAAAATAATGCGTTTTTAAAAATATGAAGCATTAACACATGTTAGACTGCACCCCATAAACACAATCAAGCCTTGAAAAAACCAGTGAACCACCCCTTTAAACTTATCATTTTGATGGCGGATTCTAATCCAGAAAGGATTGTGTTTATGAAACACATGTGACTGAAATTAAATTATATTCCAGTTTTAAATGTGCATCTGATTACAGAAATTGAAGCCTACACGCTAATACACACTACATACACGTAGTCACGCAATGCTGATATTGTTAACATTAACAATTTGTGAACAAAGTATAACCATAATAATAAATAAAAATGTGCACGGTTTGATGTGATATGAGCTAACCGATTGTTAGATTTAATAGCCATTGGTAGCGTGATTTATTGTAGGCCTAATGCTTTTTTTCCTCAGTTGGTCAGAACAAAAGTGGCAGACTTGTTAATAGTTCAGATGACAATATCCATGAAAATTCTTATTTGGGTCATAAATTCCAAGACGTAGGCTATAATCTGTGATTCCGAAATACAGTATCCACACCGGTGCAGTGACTGACTGCCACACATACTCCTCAAAATATTAGATTCATCCGTGCTGGAGCCGTGCCGGTGCACAACTCACGCAAAGAAGATAATTTCGCAAATAACTGCAATTGCAGGTTTCAAACAGAGAGGCAAAACTTATGGACTGCAGCTTTAATTGTGCAGCCCTACTTAGAGTAATAGTTCACCCTAAAAAAATACATAATTTACTCACTCTCATATCATTGTCAATTTGACAAAGGGAGATATGACTTTAGTGCTAAATACCTGAAGTGTGAGGGGCAGACAAAATCTGTATTCTCTGAAAATCCTTCTCTCTGCTGTAAAAATGCTGTTAAACCTCATTCAAACTTACATATTCAAATTAGCTGTGTCACAAAAGGTCGAGTGACATGAAAACAAGAGCTGTTCAGAATAATTGAGGGAACCCATGGTGCAGTGTGTCTTCATGAAGTACATTTGAATACATCTGAAAATGGAAGTAAATTTAAGATCTGCAACAGAGGCAAAAGACTTTAAAGGGGTCATATGATGCCTTTAAGCAAATTCTGTTTCTTACAAAGACTTCAGGAACAGCTGGATTGTAGCTTGAACGTCAAATAGACTTTTTAGAGCATGACATTCCTAGTCTCCATTCACTTTCTTTCTTGCAGCATGTGTTTTAAAGTGCATATTGCAGGTAAAAAATTTTTTCGAATTAATATATAACCTTGTATGAAAATACCATATGAACCATTAATGCAGGATTTGAAAATGTTTTACAAGACGTGAGGGCACAAATTTAGAAGAAAAAGTGACGGTTTCCTTGACAGTTCTCAAAAACGCTTTTTTTCTTACATCGCGTCATATTACGTCACGAGAGGGAGTCGTGTGACACGCTCTGCTTTGAGTGGGCGTGAGTCAGTGTGTTTTTGGTAGTTATTTTTATTTCAATTTATCGTCGTCATGGTGTAAATTATTGTGTTTGTGGAGGTTGCACAAACTCCAGCCTGTCAGGACATCGAGTCCACAGGTTTCCTAACAAGAAAAAGGACGGTATCTTCCGGACCTGGGTGCGTTTGTGCAGGTGAAGAGACGGGACTTCACTAATGCATCTCCTTCAAAAAACGTGGTGGTGTGTAACTTAGCGATCAATTTTCAACGGAGGATTATCTTCCCGGCGATATGATGCAATTCAACATGGGATACCGAAGCAAGAAGCGAGTGAGACTCAGAGCTGATTAGGGGTCGACCGATTATCGGCCTGGCCGATTATCGGCGCCGATATTAAGCAATTTTATGATTATCGGTATC